TTTACTATTTATTCATATATTATTTATTTATAATTAATTTATTAATTTTTATAAATTTTGTTTGTTTGTTGTTTTCTTGATCTTCATTCCAAAATGATTAAATTCAGCCAAATTCCACAAACAATCATAGTTAACTAAACAAAGCGTGTTTAAACGCAATAAACAGCTGGAACCGCCTTGGGTCAAGGACAGTTGCACTTGAAAGCGCATTTTAGCCAAGTTAATAACCATTTAAGCTGCGAGCAAGTAAATTTCACGATTAGAAACACTCGGACTGCTAGAGCTAATCCAGCTGAGGAAGTAACAGCAGCAGCAGCAGCAGCAGGAGCAGCATCCACACATGGAGCACATTTAATGGCCAAAACACGCACACACACACAACGATATATTTACGAGCCAAAGACGTCTAATAAAACTAAGAGGAGATGGGCATGAAATTCCACCTGCACGCGCTCCCATATTCTTTCTCTCTCACTCACTCTCACTCTCACTCTTCCTCTTACGGTGAGACTGCATCGAGCCATATATTTACGAGGCATAAAGCCAGAAGCCAACAACAACAACAAGGCGCAAAAAAAACGAGCACAAATTTTTAAAAGCCCCAATGTAATACACGCTTGAACCCAAAGAAACAACAACAACAAAAACAACAACAACACGCTGAGTGGACAAATGACATGAGGGAGTTTTAACTGAAAATCTCCACTCACTCTCTCTCACTCTCTCTCTCTCTCTCTCTAGCCCCATTCTACTCGGACATCAGTTTACACCAGCCACGGGAAAAAGAGAGTGAGAGAGAGAGAGAGAGAGAGAGAGAGAGAGAGAGAGGTAAAAAAGAGCGTTAGAATTATGACGCAAAGCCTCATAAATCTTGTTGACGATAAAAAATTGCAAACAGAAAAAAAAACCCAAAAACAACAAAAAAGGAAATTGTGACCAAAGGACCTCTGGGTAAAGACCTTCAGGTAACGTTAAGCTTTAGGCCGTTTAGAGTTCGCATTGTGGCGCTGCCTTTGGCAATTTTCCTTTTTGTCTCTACTTCTCTAGTTTCTTTTGTTTTTATTTCTCTTTCTGTTCACGCCCTACAACAGCTGTTTAGCGTGGGGCACAGAGAGAGAGGGAGACAGGGGGCGTGGCAATATATCATTCAACTGAGTGATTTACAGACGCACTGGCCTCATATCTGAGCTCATTGTTGATTGATGTCGTTGATTAAAAGATTGAAATTAAAAGAGAAAAATAGAAAAATAGACAAAATTCAAGTCAAGCGGATGAAATAGATGAATAGATCATTGAATGCTAGATATTTGAACTCTATTTCAGATAGTTATTGTGCGAAATTATTATAGATGAATCGCTGAATTGTTATGGATACATAATAGATAGTTATTGTAGATATTTGCTAAAGAATGAGACTTACA